ATAAAACAAGCTGTGAAGTCTTCTCTTCTACATTCTTAAATAAAGAGTTTGTTTAATATTAGCCTTACCTCTTCCTTGTTTGATAAATTTCATCAGTGAAACCATCTTTCCTGGAGCTTCCTTTATGTGAGGATTTGTTATAAATTCAATTCCTTTAACCAATATAGGGTTATTAAATTTATTTATTTCTACAAATGTCAGTTTGCTAATTTTGTCTTTCAAGGAAAGTGTCTATTTCAACTAAGTTGTCAAACTTATCCAAATATAGTTTTCACACTAGTCCTTTATTTTGTTCTTAATGTCTGTGGAATTTGTGTCAATATCCTACTTCTCATGCCTGATATTGGCAATTTTGTCTTCTCTCTTAATTTCTCAACCAGTCTAGTTAGAGGTTGACCAATTTTATTGATATTCCTTTTGGTTTCAGATTTACTGGAACTTGTTTTATGACCAGAATATGGTCTAACTTGGTGAGTGTTGTACAAACACTTGAAAAGAATATGTATTTGGTAGTTTTTGGATTGTTTTATTAGGGTAATAATACCAAAATTATTGATAGTTCAATTTGGATATTTTCTATTGCTCTACAAGTTCAGTGATCTATTTTTATAGCTTCTAATCTGCTGCTAATCCCATCTAATAATACTTTAAAATTTCAGATATAGTATGTTAAGCTTTATAGTCTATTTGCCTCCACTCCCGCCCCCTATTTTTAACACTTCCCATTTATCTCATTATTCTATTCATTCATGTTTTTATTTAAATCCCTGAGCACAGCCTTATCCCATTTCTTAAGTATAACTTACACATAGTAAAAAATAATCCTAATTTTTAGTATACAGTTCTGACAAATGTACACACACACACACACACACACACACACACACATATATATATATTTCATCAACCCCCAAAACTCCACTATGCCCCTTTGTAGTGAAACCTCACACTCAGCCCTGAAACCTACTGATCTATTTTCTTTCCCTATAGTTTTGCTTTGTAAGAATGTTGTATAAAAGATAAACTGACAGCATATCAGTCTGAGTTTCATAGACCTGTTTCCCAGAAAAAAACTGGTGAAAACTATTTTTAAAAACATAAAGTCTCTGAAATGATCTTAAGGAAATACAGCAAATGAGGAAAGCTCTGTGCAAAAAAAAAAAATTACAAAAATTTGGCAAGAACAACAAAAATTTGTAGTATTTGAACCAAAATCACTCCCTCCATTCTCCAGGCTCTGTGAGATTCCACTCCACTCAACTCCAGACTGGTGTAGCCAGGAACTCCCAACTCCCTCTCCCCCAACTCACATTAAGAAGCCTATATTTATGAGAGGGACAGACGTGAGCATTTCTCATGCTGGCCCTACCTATCTATTGCTGAGGATAAATTCTACGTCATATGGCCGGAATTATGGGTTTCCATCTTCCACCCAGCCCCCAAGATAAGACTAATGCTCTACTTTGAGTGAAGTACTTCTGAGAGTGCAAAGACACCAATCACTCTTTCCCTGGTTTATAAGACAGTGAGTGGTTCCATGCTGGGAGTATCAAGCAGAAAAGACCGGAAGCTAATGTTCCTCAATAGCTAATACTCAGTTCCTCAATCAGAAATTTTACTGAAAGATGCTTGCCACTGTTCCCATCCCCAGTTCTGGGGCTATAGCTTAGAGATTTTACCAGGAGGTAGAAGTGGAACATCAAAGAGATCACTCCTAAACTTTCCCCAAGGAAAGTGACTTATTTGCAACAGAGCATGAAAGAAATTCAAGGCAAAGGGCACTCTCAAATACAGTGAAGGTTGTATTGAAAATTTTGAGAGGTTATTGGTAGATTCATTGGAGATACATATGGGCTAAACTATAGCTTGGCCAGTTTGCAAGAGATGATCAGGAATAGAAACAGCTGGGATGAACCCTCATGAGGACAGAACAAATCTCAAATGCCAACTTAAGGAACCATCCCTTCAAGGAGTACAAATTTGATTGGACTAGTCTCTAGAGAAATTCATGCCTGGGACACTTTTGAAAACAATCACCAGCAATTAGTTTAACAGCTGGGTGTGGTTATGGAAAGAAGACAAAGAAAGCCCTGATAAAATCATCATCATCTCAAAATGACTGTGTGCATATTCAAGGCTACACTACCTGAGTAGCAACTTCAGAGGCTTAATACTTCAGGGGGAAAGTAGATTTCACTAAAATAATCAGCATCTCACTAAACAAACAAATAAATAAATATTAACAATAGCCAAAACCGGTTTGGCTCGGTGGATAGAGCGTCAGCCTGTGGACTGAAAGGTCCCGGGTTCGATTCTGGTCAAGGGCCTGTACCTGGGTTGCGGGCACATCCCCAGTAGGGGGTGTGCAAGAGGCAGCTGATCAATGATTCTCTCCCATTGATGTTTCTAACTCTCTATCCCTCTCCTTTCCTCTCTGTGAAAAATCAATAAAATATATTTAAAAAAATAAAAATAAAAAATAAATATTAACAATAACAAGCCCGAGCAGTGAGAGAAGAACCATAATCATAGTTGCTATAATATATGATGTAAAATGTCAAGTTTCCAACAAAATATTATAAGACATGCAAAGAAATAGGAAAGTATTACCCATACACTATTAAAATAAACAGATAACACAAAATGCCTGTGAGAACAACCAGATATCAAAGTTAACACACAAAGGCTTCAAAGTATACATCATACACATGACCAAAGATTTAATGAAAATCATCTTTAAAGAAACGAAGGTATGACAATGTCACACACATTAGAGAATACCAATAAAGATATGCAAATTATAAAAAGTACCAAGTGGAAATTCTGGAACTAACGGTGCAATAACTGAAATAAAAATTTTACTAGAGAGCTTCAGCAGTAGATTTGAATTGACAGAAGAAAGATTAGCAAATTTGAAGACAGATTAACAGAGGTTATGCAATCCAAAAACCAGAGAGAAAGAGAATGAAGAAAAATGACAAGACCCTCAAAGAAATGGGGAACACACCAACACGCATATAATGAAAGAACGAGAAGGAGAGAAAGGTGAGAAAAAAATATTTAAATAAACAAGGACTAAAACCATCCCAAATTTATTGAAAACATTAACCTTTACATCCAGAAAGCTCAATGAACTATAAGTAAGATAAATACAAAGAGATTCACAAACAGACACACCATAGTAAAAATGATAAAAGCCAAAGACAAGATGAAAATCTTAAAAGCAACAAGAGAAAACAACTCATCACTTACAAGGGAACCCTATAAGAATAATAGTTACTTCTCAGCAGAAACATTGGAGACCAATTAGGCAGTAGAGTAACATATTCAAAGTGTTTAAGAAAAAGCTGTCAAATAAGAATCCTGTATCAAGCAAATCTATCTTCAGTTTTTATTGTTGTTGTTAATCGTCACCCAAGGATTTCTTTTTTCATTGACTTTTAGAGTAGAAGAGAAATGGAGAGACATATCAACTGGTTGCCTCCCAAATGCACTCTGACCAGGGATGGAGCCTGCAACCAAGACAGGTGCCCTTGATCAAAATTGAACCCAGGACCCTTCAGTCTAAAGGCTGACATTCTCGCCGGGACCGGTTTGGCTCAATGGATAGAGCGTCGGCTTGGGGACTGAAGGGCCCCGGGTTCGATTCCGGTCAAGGGCATGTACCTTGGTTGCGGGCACATCCCCTGTAGGGGGTGTGCAAGAGGCAGCTGATTGATGACTCTCTCTCATCGATGTTTCTAACTCTCTATCTCTCTCCCTTCCTCTCTGTACAAAATCAATATATATATATATATATATATTTTTTTTTTTTATTTTTTATTTTTTTTTTTTTTTTTTTTAAAGGCTGACATTCTCTCCATTGAGTCAAACTGGCCAGGGAAAGCAAAGCTATCTTTAAAAAACAAAGATAAAATAAAACATTTCCAGATTAACAAAACCTGAAAGAGTTTATTAATACACACACACACACACACACACACACACACACTTGAGGCCTGGTGCATGGATTCGTACACACTAAAAGGAAATTAATTAGAAGAAATATTTTAGAGGCTGGAGAGGGATCACAGGAGGTTGGCTCCAGAGCATGTCTGGCCTATCTCACCCAGTTCTAATGGGCTAGACCCCAGCAGCAAGCTAACCTATTGGTAAGAGCGTCTGCCCCATGGTGGTCAGTGTGCATCATAGCGAACAGTTGAACAGTCGAATGGTCAGACACTTAGCACGTTAGGCTTATATATATATATATATATATATATATATATATATATATATATGTATAAGCAGACCTCCTAAAATCAATAAGAATGCAAGACAACCCAATAGAACTCAATAGAAAAAATGACAAACCCTGAAAAGCCACTTCACCAAAAAAAGATATCCAACATGTCCAATTAACATATGAAAGGGCGCTCGGTTCACTAGGCAGCAGGGAAATGCGCGTTAAAACCACAATGACATACTACACACCCACCGGAATGATTAAAATGGAAAAGATGGGAAATGCCAAGGGCTGGTGAGGACGTGGAGCAACCACAACTCTCATGTGTTGCTGATGGAAGTGTGAATTGGCACAACCGCTTTGGAAATTGTTTTGTATAATAGTACCTATTAAAGGCAAAATGTACACATATCCTTTGACCCAGTAATTCTACTTCTAGCAATTATATTCTTAACAGAAATGTGTACATATTTCACTAAACATGTGCAGAATGTTCAGAGAAGTACTGTTCCCAACTAGAGGCCCAGTGCATGGATCTGTTTACCAGTGGAGTCCCTTGGCCTGGCCCATGGGCATCCTCCAAGGGGTCCCGGATTGTGAGAGGGTGCGGGTTAGGGTCTATTGGGATGTGCCAGGTATAAAAACTGGCACACAACTACCCGGCTCTTCTACCTGGCACACTCCCTGAGACCCTGTTTCTAGGATATGACCTGTATAGTAACTGCATTAACGGTGCTTAACGGGAGCCTGGAGGCTCCCTATCGCTTAGCCTTACTTGGTTGCTGCTCCCCTCCTCTTCCTCATCGCCGTCTGGAGCCTGAGGGGCGACCTCGGAAACGCTGTTCTCCTGAAAGAGGTTATCCTCCAGATCAGACACTCTGGCGGCTTCCGTGATGACTTTGAGTTTCATGTTGTGGAAGCCGGTCGAGACGACGCCCACTTGCAGGTTTACGGGCTCCCCCTCGAACAGCACGACGTGCGAGTTCACCCCGTGTTTAAAGCCGGGGGGCTGGTAATAATCGGGGGTCACTGCAGAACAGAGAGCGGAGAATACTGAGTCTCCACGGGACAAACCGGGCTCATCTTTCAGGGTAGCAGCAGTTTTCTTTCTTTCTTTCTTTTTTTTATAATATATGTTATTGATTTTTCACAGAGAGGAAGGGAGAGGGATAGAGAGCTAGAAACATCGATGAGAGAATCATCGATCAGCTGCCTCTTGCACACCCCCCACTGGGATGTGCCCGCAGCCAAGGTACATGCCCTTGACCGGAATCGAACCTGGGACTCTTCAGTCCTCAGGCTGACACTCTATCCACTGAGCCATACCGGTTTTGGCCAGACATAGTTTTCTGATGCCTGCAAAGCCCTTCTCTTCACAGAGATGTCACTTCAGCACTGCAGAGGGGATCTGCAGAGGGCGGACACACCTGCGTTGTAGTAGTGGAGTTTCATAGTGAGGACGACGTCATTGGGAAGGGGGCCGAGGTTCTGCATCAGCATGTACAGTTTGCGGAGTAGCAGGATGCTGGCTTTCTTAATGTGGCCCCTCTTTGTCCCGCTCTCAATGCTCGTGTTGCTGCTGTAACCACATAAAAAACAGCATGCTTTTCAGTCAGACACAATATCACAATATCTTTAAAAAGATCAAAACTTTTTACAATAAAATCAAATAAAAATAAATTACACATCAGGACACTCTTTAGACTTCTTTCTGAATGTAAATTAGAGGAGAGGTTGTATTTTTTTTTTATAACGTATATACAAAAGATTTCTTTAAAGCAAGTTCCCTTAAGGTATTTTAAATATGACCTGCGTTTTAAAAATTTGATCTTTAAATGACCACGTGCTATAATAGTGAGAACAGTGGATTTGGAATTAGGAGACTTGACATCCAATAATGGCTCTGCTGCTATTAGCTGAATGACCTCAGTCAAGTCACATGGACATGCTAGGTCAGTTAGCTCATTTATGATAAGCTTACACACATTTCTACACCTTTTCTATTATAAAATCTAGGGCCTTTCTATCATCTGGTTATCTCTCAGAGGTATCTCCTCCTCACTCTTACATGGATTATGATAATGACTATTCTTCCTGCTTTTTTCTTGTCTACACTAAAAAATATTTTCCACACCACCACTGGAATAATATTGCTAATAGAAAAATCTGCTCATGTCACTAGCTTGCTTAAAATTCTCCTATTACATCCATTTTCTTTTAATCAAAATCGAGAACGGTGTACAACGCCTTTCATGACCAGCCATGCCCTCACCCCTACCTCCCTTTGCAGTCACTATCCAGTTACTTCTCATCCACATGTATTTACACTTTGCTTTCCTGTGCTTTTCACTCCTCTTCCTGACTCTCCCGAGTCCACTCTTTAATACCTAGCCATGTGTCACCTCGCCAAGGAAGTCTTCCCTGATAATCCCGTACCTCACCCTTGTGTATAGTGTTTGTATGTCCCCTTCTAGACTATGAGTGTCTACGCCTCTCCTCTCCACAGTCCTAAGTTTGGCGCCCAGCTAGGTAAGTACACAATAAATATTTGTTGAATTAAGGAATGAATGAACAAGTTGGACAAATTACTTTCCAATTCTAACGTTTTCTTTTTCCCAAGAATTTTCATCCCCAATCCACTTCACATTGGACTAGTTTCCAGGAAGAAGTATGACTGTAATATATTTGCATACTGCCTCTCACATAGTAAGCACTCAATACTGAAAAATAATCCTCAGTAATTGAACTATTGGAGGCAGTGTGAATTCCTAAAACAAACATTGTTAAGTAAATACATTTGTTCCTGTTTCAGTTCCGAATAACCTTCAGTTTTGTCTACCAGGATTTAACCAATTTGAAATAGGTAACCAGAGATAGCCATTTAGCTCATGGGATTCTTTAGTATACGTCATATTCACATAAAATCATAATCAAGACTTCCCTGCACTCTTTTAAAAGGGAAATTATCTTTACCATGGAAGAGGTGGTAGGTAATTTTATATGGTGATTATTTAAACAAATGTCTACCTTTGGTTTCTAAAAAATCAGTAATATGTATTACTGCTCTCCTTCTTAGCTAAAAGATTTGGCCATTTGTTTTACCATTCACCTCTTGACATACATGCCTTCATAACAAAAGAAATTTCTTGCCCTAGTTGGTTTGGCTCAGTGGATAGAGTGTTGGCCTGCAGACTGAAGTGTTCTGGGTTCAATTTCTGGTCAAGGGCACATGCCTGGATTGCAGGCTCCTCCCCAGCCCAGAACCTGGTCCAGAGGCAACTAATCGATATTGATATTTCTCTCTGCCTCTCCCTCTCTCTTTCACTCTCTCTAAAAAAGCAATGGAAAAATATCCTCAGGTGAGGATGAGAAAGAGAGAGAGAGAGAGAGAGAGAGAGAGAGAGAGAGAGAGAGAGAGGTTGCTCTGGTTGTCATTAGGTCTTACATTTGAATTTTAGAGGATAAAGGCAACTGTTTTGTGTAAGCGAATATGTGTGAAAAGTGCTGAACAATCTGTAGAGTGCTATACAAATGTTAGCTAATGGTGGTTAATATTGCCATTCTCATTCCTGAAACTCACTTCCTCTTCACACCCCAGTGCCATCTGTAAGTCTTACAAATGAGAAAATAATTAAGGAAGTGAATCTTGGAGAGAAATCCTCAAACTTGCAATAAATGATGAAACAGAGCTAATAGCACAGAAATTGAGAATTAGGCCACATTTCTCTTGAGAGTCATCCCCTGAGCACGGAGTCCTCTGTGCCCCGTGCTTTTCACCATCTTCCACCCCCTCCATTCCCTCCATTTCCATTCCATCACATCAGCAAAATGTGGCTCTTTCTGAACCCAAAAGCTCCTGGTAAGGAAATAAAGAAAATAAATGTGGCTCTTTAATAAAACATCTCCATCTGCACTAAGGACCTTCGGAAGCAAATGTCTTTGTCTTTGCTATTTAACCTATTAGTATATATAAAACTTGGAATTTGATACTTGCTAGGAAAATACAGTGCTTCCACACTGTATTTTCCACACTAAGACATACATAGAAGATTAATTTTGTGGGACATACTGAGGTCAGCAGTGACAGTGATTGTGTCTATAAGCAAATCGTTCGGTGGTTTCATCTACCCCAGGTTCGGAGGGCAGAGCGGACCAATATCTTAGCATAGCAATGGAGACATTTTGGTTTAGTGGAAAGACAGAGTCTTTGGAGCACTTCAATCAACACCATGTAGACGCCTCATTCATATAAGTTCTGTGCTGTCTATGAACCACCATTGCCCTCAGGGACCACTATCGCCACACCACCACCACCACTAGGTACCATTACTGACTGTTCATTATGTGCCAGGCCTGGGCACAGCTCAATATATGCATTATAACTAATCATTACAACAACCATATGAAGTAGATACTGTATTATCAACTCCACTGTACATACCACTATTTGGGGAGATTGAGTAATTTGTCCAAAGTTAGATAATCAGTAACAGTAACTGGGGTTCCTCTGCCTTAGGAATTGCAACTCTTAACCACTCACTGTAACTGCTTTAGGCCTTACTAGCACCACCTATGAGAAAAAGAAGAAACGAGAGGACGCCCCTGTTCCCACCGGAAATCTAAATAATTGTCCAACCCCTCTTTAGAGCAGTGCTGGAGTTCTCTGTAGGGTTGTTGGGAGAGTTAGAAAGGAAGGATGAGGCCCATCTGTGGCCTCAAGAGGCTTATGTTTACCCTAATCATATCTGTTTCTCGTGTTCATTAAGCAATTAGATCCTACCTGTCAAAATCCATAGTGATTCCTTCGTTTGTGTATTTGAATTTGAACTGGTATATCTCAGTCACTTTCTAGAAACAGCCAAGGGAAGAGAGAAATAAATTACTTTAAGAAAGAAATCCTTTGGTAGTTACAAAATAATTGAAGGAATGAGATTTGTATCCCCACGGTATTCATATATTAATTCTTTAAGGAGCCTATCATGCATTGGGTTGTATAAATCCTCCCTTAATATATTTACAGTTTGGCTTACACTTCTTATTAATACCCTCTACACATTTTGTAGTGTGTCTGCAAAAAAGCTACACTACCCTTCTTTACTACTTTCCTTTTTCCCCCTACTTTTGTCAGTTCATCTCAAAACGTCAAGTGCAAAGCACCACAACTTTTTGCACTGCTCAGTCTTATTGGCCTCTGGACTGGGTTAGCAGCCTTTACTTAAGACAATGGTTCTCAATTGTGTATGTGACAGACTCTTCACTGGTGTGCTGAAAATTTTAATCCACGTGTAAAATGTATTTTCACTTCAGGTAAATATGAATATTGTTATTGTCTGGGCAGTTTTGCTTATTGGAGGATACAGTTCTACGGATATGAGTCGGGAAACTCGGCACGAAATCAGATAAATACCAATAATGAAGAGTCTGGAAGCACTCAAAATATTTTTTCAGGAACATAAATGATAGCTCAGAACTTATCACATAATAAGCCTTTGTTTCCTAATTCACTGTTACATTTACTGTGTGTAGCAATGCTCATTAATAGCTCTCTTTTCACTCAGTAAGATTTTTCTGTAGTGAAGCCCAATTTGCTTAGCATTTCACTACCTCAAAACCACTGATTTCAGGGTTGAAGTTGTGTGTGCATAAGAAAACATAATTTATAATAACTTACCGCACTAAGGAAGTGACCAATTTATTAACAATTTATCAGGAGGGTTTAGTTTGGGAAACTTCCATCAAAGCTAGGGGGAGTGGGGGGAAGCATTTTGAAGTGACACAGAGACAAAGACCCAGAGGTACTTTGGCATTAAAGAACTGTTACCCGCCTATATGTACCAATTTTTTTCCACCTTGTTCAAACACATATTTATGATCTTGCCAAAAAAAGGATTTTATAGACTAAAAATGCTTAATTTGGTCTTGAATGCCACTAATTAGGCAAAACCCATTGGCTTAGAGAAGGAAAATGGAAAGCAAAGAAAAAGGTTAAGGAACCGGAAAGAAAGATAGGAAGAAAGTAAGGAGAGTGAGAAGAGTGAGAGGCTTCTCCCTCCGTTTCTCTGCTGCCGCCACAGTTCCCAGTCAGAGCAGCACGTGTAACTATTACGTGCCCAAGACTGATACTCCCTTTGGGAGACAGAAAACAAGACAAGTCTCTTGTTCTCTAGATTCACAATCTGGTTGGGAAGAGAAAGTATCCACATGAATCAATTGGGAATGTTAAATTGTGGGCTACCGATGGAGAAGGAAGAAATTTGTGTGAACAGATCAGGCAGAGACTTTCATGAAATATTTGGATGGAAGTTGGCCTTGAGGATGAGTAGAACTCAATCAGCAGAGGGAAGAAATTTAGAGAAAGAAATAAAGAGGTAAAGCTCTGAAAATCTAGGAAAAGGTCAAAAAGTGAAGAATTTAGTCGGGGGATGGGGGGGAGTTTAGAATTATGCACACCTTCCAAAAGGCCACAAACAGAAAGGATTCAGAATCAGTTAAAATGAGTAATAAAATATGGTGTTTATACAAGCGGAGATTCTTAATGTTAACATATTAGGAAATAGGCTCAGTTCCACCAATGCTTATTTTTCAATGCCCCTAAGTAGTTTTTAAAATCTCATAATAAAGGATTGGTGATATTTATAATAAAACATACTGAAGGAGCTCACTGTGAGTAACTTTGCTCATAACGTAATCTACAGCCCTCAATTTAAGTAAACATTTTTAAATATAATGTACATTTACTACCCATCTCTGTGTGTGTTCTTACCTCAGGTTCCTTGGGATTTGGGTAAAGCTGTTTAAGGAAAAATAAATAGCACTTAATTTTTGAAAGATACTACATTAATCCTCACAGAATACATGTTCTATATGAAGAGTTCAATTTGTGCTATATTGAGTACAGAAATAGATAGATAGATAGATAGATAGATAAACAGATAATCTTAAGATACATAGTTCAAGCCAGAGATAGAATAAGCTCATTTTGTAAACATAGCCTTTAGAATATTCTGTAAATACTGACTATAAGAAAATTGATAACCAGGTATTTATGATTACTGGTTATGATTTGTGACTGAGCTACAAATATATTCTAAATAATTTTTATGGTTTATGATTTTTAAATAAATAATATATTTAAGACTCTCAATGATATCTCATTTTCTTTCTATCTTAATAGCATTCACCATGCTATACCCAGAAATAGATAAAACTTCAGAAAACTCTACAAAATTTCAATCTGTGAACTCAAAAAATAAAATTATGATAGCCAACAGATGAAGCAGTTGGTATATCCTATATTTTCCCATGTATTACAATATGCCAACAAAATAGTTAGTGATATTTTACTAAAAATGCCTGTTTTTAAAAATTCTATTTTTAAAAAATTCCAAAATGTCATAGGACAGATAAGGAAATTCAGGAAGGCAGAGGGAAGTGCTGTTTTAATGTTTCACTTGCCAAAAGACAGTAGAGACAGAGGTGTGGTCTTTAAATGTATACTTACTGTAAGGATTGCCATGTGTAGCTTCAAGAAAAAAAATATTGTTATTATATTTTATATACTTTCATTAAAGGCTAATTAAAATATTATTTCAGGGAGGTCTAAAGTTTTGAGTTGAAAAAATACTATTCAGAACAAAAGGGATCCTAATTATTCATTCACTCAGTGAGTGCCTATTACATACACAGGTTTATGGTGGGAAGAGGGGGGATTTAAAGAAAAGAAAAAAAGGAAAGAAAAAGAAAATAATTATCCTTATTCTCTATAAGTTATATTACAGTTTGGGAGGTAAAATATATAAAATAATTTATTATTACTAGAAATTAAATGTGCCACAAGTATCTAAAAAAAAAAATGTGCCTTTTGAAACAAATCAACTAAACTAAAAAGTTTTAAGCCTGACATAAATCTATAAAACCTTTGCTCTCCCTACATCTATACATTACTATACACAGATTCTTTCTGCTTGAATATATAGATATACAGATGGAGATATAATGAAGCCTATCATAAAAATGTAAAACTAGATTACAAATGACAAAATTTCAGGACCACAATTTCATAGCAAATTATTCACCTTTTTCACCCAAAGGACTAAAACTTTAGTGACACTGTGTGGCTATTTTGGTTACTGCATACAATTGATTTTAAGACTACACAGTGCAACTCTGCTGTATATTAATTATTTAATTAAAGTTTATTCATTCTGTTGACGTGGCCCCTGCCCTGCCCAGTGGCTCGGGTGGTTGGAGCATTGTCCCATACACCAAAAGTTGTGGGTTCAATTCCGGTCAGGGTACATACCTAGGTTGCAAGTTTGATCCCAGGTCCGGGCCCTTATGGGAGGCAACTGATTGATGTTTCTCTTTCATATCAATGTTTCTCTCTCTCTCTTTCCCTTCCCCTCTCTCCAAAAATCAATTTAAAAAACACACACCATATCCTTGGTGAAGATTAAAGAAAAAAATAGACATGGCTCCGATCATAGAACTTGCAGACCAGCAGGGAAGAAAGTATTCAACAAAAAAATATCACACAGATAGGTGCCAGTTGTAATATTTGCATGAAGAAACAGCTCAAGGTGTTTGGGAACAATGGAGGCTGGCGGGAGAGGGCTGTCAGAAAAGGCCTCCCTGAGGAAGTAAATGTTCAGGCTGAGACCTGAAGGGTCCTGGGTAGCCAGGCAAAGGATGCTGGGTAGGAAAGAGTTTTCCAGGCAAAAGGGAACAATATGCAGAAAGGCAAAGGCCCCGGCATAGTCTAGATTTGTTATGTGGCTGGGACAGTGAGCAATGGGGAGGGATGCCTTGGGAAAGCAGGTGGAGACTAGCTCATACAGGCCTTGCAGATCACTTCAGGGTTTCTTAAAGAAATAGGAACCGAAAGGGAGTAAAAAAAAAAAAGATACAGATGGAGAGAAGGGGAGAAAGCAGTAATAGGAATTTCATTATATATCTTGTCTCTTCAGCTGGGACCAGAGTCTCTAATTATTACACTCTTTGTAGCTATCTTGGGCAGCAAGAAAGATCTGACGCACTTAATATTTAAGCTGCATTTCTAAAAAATTTGAGCTACAGTAGTAGTTATTTTGAGGGAACAGAATATATACATATATACACCATAGTTACCAATAACCAACATAGAATAAAAACGAATTATTCAAGTCCATTTTTCCCTTTCCTATCTGCGAACTGAATCGCCACTATCTGAACGTGCTCAGTGTGCTGAATGCAGACTCTTGTCTCCCCTCTCCCACATCCTGTGATCTCTCCCAGTGACTTCAGAGGAAATTCTGTGGTCAAAAGATGTGAGTATGTAAAAGAGAAAAATGAGGGTTTCATTTCTAATTGATGTAAATGGGACAACATAAACTTAACATAACAAGAAACTGGTTCGTGAATACAAATGTAGGCACTGGCACAACATTAGAGCACAACAAAATAAAGGCTAATCTTTTTTTTAAGGGATAAAAGATGAGTCTTTGAGTAAATGTTAAAACATTCTTACGTATCCCCTTTCCAAAGCGTCAAAGCAACCTTGAATCCTGTCAAGAAATAAATGTTTGATGTCAATTTGGACTAGATTCAAAGCCAAAAAATTCCAAGTACAGAACTGATTTATATTTTTTGCTTTGAAGTACATTAAATTGATAATCATTTATTTACATTTCCCGATTTATAAATTTTTTAAACTCCAATACCTTTTACTATGTTTATAGAACTTTATAAATAAAAGGTAAGCAATTTTAGGGTACAGAATTACATCTTATTTTTCATGTTGGTTTCCACACTGTTTAGGACACTGGCATGCCTATCCTGAGTAATAAAGTATTGATTGATCTTTTTCTTCATACAAGTCTATTTACTTCAAAAATAACACTAAGTCAGTATCTTAAAATTACATGGAATAATTATTACAAATTTATAGAAAATTATTTTTAAAAGGCAGAAAGAAATTGTTTTAAAGAAATGTAACCACCACCACAACAGAGAGACATTTAGTTTCACTTAACGCAGTGTAAACACAGACTGAGACAGACGCTATGAAACAGTTACAATCGAGGGCTCCAAGTCAGACTACCCTGAATGTTAACCCCCTGGTCTGCCATCTGCTACTTATGTGATGTTCAGCAATTGAACCTCAGGAAGTCTGTTTCCTCATCTGTAATATGGAAATTATAGCATATCTCATCCAAGTTAAGATGCACATTCTTTCATATTTTATCATCTCTAATACCAGGATGTATCTTATAACTGGTGGTGTATCTTGGTTTCGTTAGCAACATTTTTTTTTCTTTTTTACTGGTACATAAGTTGTGTAATTTATAAACGACAGCATTTGCTATTCAACTACATAATTAATATGTACTTCATAAAGTTGTTTTGAGATATAAATAAAATCATGATGTAAAATCTTATGCCTAGAACTTGGCCCACTTGAAGACCCTCAGTGAACAATGCCCATGAATATTGTACAGTATGATTTTTGTAAATTCTGGCCTTTTCCTGTCTTTTTAGTCATAATTTTTGTTTGCCAAAACTAGAAGTTAATTTATTTGCAAAATCGTTATTGTTAGAACCATCTGCCTACCCAGTTGTTCATCAAATTTCCTCTAATATTTCTGGTAGCAAGATATTGACCCTAAGGGTTTAAATCTAAAATGTGAAATGTGGTCAAAATAAAGTTTGTGAACGTCTTAAAAAAAGAAAGAAATGATGTTAACAAATAAAGTCTTGTGGGTAATTTCAGCCATGATAAAAATAATATTCAACTTTTGCAAAATTTCAATTACTTACCATTTAATAATAAGCTCAGACCCAGGAGAGCTTTTATCTTCTCGGAGGATTTTTAGATTGAGGTCTAGAAAAATAGAAACACAGTCTATTTTCATCTACTAAATGACTGTTGTGCTAAAATTGTCCATTCTAAATAAAGGTATTTTATTTATAAAACTAAGTTTTATAGCTTATAAAAATATTTGGAATCTCTACCAGTAAATAACTAAAAATAAATCCTATGTTGATAATTAGCTTAGTTCTGATTTTTATTCTAGTTTAGTAGTCTACACTTACACAATATAGTGGAGGGAGCCGAATATTCCATCCCAAATGTGCCACTTTAGCAAGTAGATTATTTGAAGCTAATGGCAATCCAGACCGAGCTGATTCCCCTGGTTGGTGTGGCTCAGTGGTTGAGCATCGACCTATGAACCAGGAGGTCATGGTTGGATTCCTGGTCAGGACACGTACCCAGATTACGGGCTCAGTCCCCAATAGGGGGTGTGCAATCAATGATTCTCTCTCATCACTGATGTTTCTATCTCTCCCTCTCCCTTTCTCTCTGAAATCAATTAAAAAAAAAAAAAAAAGACACACCAGTATTTAAAAAAATAGAAGATCCAGATGACCCAAGGTAAACCTTTACCTTTCCATTAACTGATTAAAAGAATTTCGATAGGGGACCTGGCCCAGAAAAGAGCTATTACCAGAGATAACTTTTATCTGATAGACTTCCTAATTTGCATTAACAGTGATAACATCTGATTACCAAGCTCCGCTCCTCTTATCTTCCTGTGAACCGCCCTCCTTCTCTTTGAAACTCCCTGGCCCTCATCCCATTGCTTAGCTCAGAATGGCGTTTACATCCTAATTCCCTGCCTTTGCTGTCATATTTGTATGGGCTCCTGTAGATACAGAATTAAATTTGTTTTTCTTGTGTCAATCTTATGTCAGATTAATTGCTAGACAAGTCAAGGAATCTAGAAGTGTAGAAGAAAAAGTGTTCGTTCCCAACAGGAGCACAAATGAACTGGTTGCAAAACCGATTTGTGTCACTTATAGGAACTATTAGTTCTTGGCCAGATAACAAATGACAGACTGAGGAAAAAAGAAATCTATATGGACAAGCCCAATAAATCTAAACTAGGCCTAAGTAAAACCACTAAACATAGTCAAATTAAAATGGAAAATTAATTAGCAAATTGTTCCTATGCCTTGGTCTCAGCACACTGTGAGAAATTAAAGGTTTACTCCTGCCAAATAGAGAAAAGGGACATAATAGCTAAAGTAACCATTGAGTTCAACTGTACCTTCCAAATGGCGGTCTCCATAAGAGCTTTCTGGAAACAGGCCCCTTAAGTACGTTATACATGAGATACAAGTAGCAAAAAGTTTCTTCACCGTTGCCAAGGACTCTTCCTGATCACTAATTTGGGATGGGAAAATTGGTCCCTGGAAAAAAATGATGAAAAAGATTAGTATTCCCCCTGGCCTGTGTGCTCAGTGATTAAACATCGGCCCAAGCACCCCAATCCCACCTGCCCCCTCTAGAGCTGTCTGCCTGCTCTCTATCTAGGAGTCTGTCTCTATTTTGCTTGGTAATTCAGTTTGTTCATTAAATTCCATATGAGGACACTCATATGGTATGTGTCTTTCTCTGACTTATTTCACTTAGCTATCGTTTTTTAAAATATATTTTATTGATTTTTTACAGAGAGGAAGGAAGATGGATAGAGAGTTAGAATCGAACTTGGGACTTTTCAGTATGCAGGCCGACGTTCCATCCACTGAGCCAAACCGGTTTCGGCTTAGCTATCATTTTTATGCCTAGTATATGAAAATACTGTAAAACAACACTGTTATCAAACATTTTAATAAGATAGTGTGCTAAGGACACGTGATGTTTTACAGCTTAGCTGTCAAGTTACATGACCTAAGTTACTTTATTTCTCTGAGCTTCAGTTTCTTCCTTATTGCAAAGTTTAATTGAAATAATAATATACTAGTAAATCCCTTGGCACAGTGCCTGGCACGTGGTAAGTGGTGAATAAACGTTAGCTTCTATAGTTATTATTATTGTCTAAAATAATAAATAGCAAAATCACTCAAAACTTACTGGGAGAAATAGCTCATGTAGTCCAAACTACCAAGATCTGTTTATATCAAAGGGCCAATTTGTTAATACTCAGTGAGAAAAACAACTGCCAAGCTGACTGCAGTTCGTATATATGGCTCAGCATCTTGGCCCCAGGAAGGAAGCACACTTAGAAAACTAAATGAGATCAGCAGCTTGGTGAGAATATTGAATTCAAGCAAGAAAGATGGCTGCCTGCTCTCTGCCACAATTCCCCTTCAACTTCAATATTTCTGCTACAGCTTAATATTCCTGAAACAATTATTTTACTCCCTCTTCTGATCAAACCCACTGGCTTTCTACTGATTGCAGAATAAACTATAAGTTCCTTAGCCTTAAGATCCGTATTATTTTAACCTCAGAGTTCCTATTCAACTTTACTATTTCTGTCCAACAGGACAACACTCCGATTCAGTAAGGATGGTTCTTTGTTATTCTCTGAAACATGCCACGCTCATTTCTTTATTCTGGGGCAAAGCATAGGATAGGCTTCCCTTGTGGAATTCTCTTTCCTCTCCTCTATTAAAATAACTGTCATCATTCAAGACTCATACAAACTACTCCAGGCTATATAAAATCTTATCATTTGTATTGCCTTACTCTCTTTTGCATATATTACTTTGTATATTGACTTAACTTCTGCAAATTTTAATTTAACCAGATTATAAACTTCAAGAAGATAAAGAGTCTTTCTTTTTTAAATTTTTTTTTTTTTTTTTATTTTATACAGAGAGGAAGAGAGGGATAGAGAGTGAGAAACATCGATGAGAGAGAGTCATCGATCAGCTGCCTCTTGCACACCCCCTACTGGGGATGTGCCCGCAACCAAGGTACATGCCCTTGACCGGAATCGAACCCGGGACCCCTCAGTCCCCAAGCCGACGCTCTATCCATTGAGCCAAACCGGTCCCGGCAAGAGTCTTTCTTTTTTAAATCCTCACCTGAAGATATGCTTTTATTGATTTTTTTAAAGAGGAAGAGAGAGAAACATTGATGCAGGCTCCCATACTGGCCCCCACTGGGGATCAAACCTGCAACCTACGTATATGCCCTGACCGGGAATCAAACCCGCAATCTTTTGGTGCACAGGACAATGCTCCAACCAGCTGAGCCACCCAGTCAGGGTGAAGTGTGTTATTTATTTATTCATTCAGAGGTTAATACACTATTGCATATATATTATATGGTAGTGGGCTCTCAATGAATTCATAAATGGTTCATTAATGAATGCCATGGGACAAGATAAACTTGCCAAAATAAACCAGCAAGTCTGCCTAGCCCTGGCATGCCCCTCACACGTCCCAGCATACAAGTTTTTCTCATTGTTCTCTTCCTCAGTTCTTATAACTGCATCGTGTTATACTTCAGAAGTTTCGTGAGTGTTTAACAAGGAACCACTCTCTTTAAACACCTTTTTTGTTTCTGATTTCTTTTATCCTAGAAAATCTAAGTATATAAAAACGAAACAATACCCAGTAAGTTATTTTGTAGGAGTCTATTCTAATTTTCTGAACATCCTCAGTCCATTAGGCAGTTAACATGTAGACATGCTCTGCCAGAAATTCTGTGCCAATTAACTGATAAAACTGCTGTTAAAAAAAAATGCCAGAGATGGAAGTCATCATTCGGAACTGACTACATAGTCATCGATTTTCTTTTAATTCCATTTTTAATGAAATAGAGTTTGTTAGTGAAGCAGTGAGATGGAAAATAGGCTACTGCAGAGACAGAACAGCCATAATTCTTACTAAATACCTTATATGCCTTGCGAATTCTGATGGGGTGAGAGAGCTGAGCAATGGCCATTATAGTAACGTATCAGGATTCTTTGAAGTCTAACCTGCAAAAAGAAAAAAGAAAGAAAAAGAAAAAAGAAGCCAATTAGAGACCTTGCCCAACATAATCCTTATTGTGAATTTTCCAAAGAAATATTATAAAATCAGCATTTGACTATATTGTTTGGAAATTAGTTGAATAAACATTTTGATCTCCACAAACAATTTTTTTTTTAATTTGGCATAAAGTCTCTGGATCAGTTTTTCCAACCACCCAATGAAAATGTAAGTTGACTTACTTGTTCCCAAATACATTTAAAGGAGAAAAATATTGTAAATCACCTAATGAGTCCTAACTGGTTTGCCTCAATGGTTAGAGCATCGGGCTACGGACTTAGGGGTCCTGGGATTGGTTCTAGTCAAGGGCACATACTTCGGTTACAGGCTCAATCCCAGGGCCTGGTCCGGGCCCATGTGGGAGGCAACCAATTAATGTGTCTCTCTCCTATCGATGTTTCTGTGTCTCTCCTCCTCCCTTCCACTCTCTCTAGAAATCGGTGGGAAAATGTCCTCTGGTGAGGATTGACCCCTCATCAATAATATATTTTTTTCATCCTATTATTCCCTCAAAGTATAACAGTGCTTTGCATATATCAGCACCTCAAAATAATTTCTTGAACTTCGGGTGTAATTGATTTTCAAAGCCAATTCAAAATTTAATGTTTATACTTCTCACCCATTAGGTTGGCTATTCAAAAAAAAAAAAAAAAAAAAAGGAAAATAACAAGAATTGGTGAGGATATGGAAAAATTAAAACCACTGCTGATTGGAATGCAAAATGGTATAGCTGCTATGGAAACGGTATGGCAGTTCCTCAAAAAGTTAAATAATCACCATATTATCCAGCAAATCTAAGTATATACTCAAAATAAATGAAAGCAGGGATTCAAACAGATACTTGCACACCATTGTTCATAGCAGTATTATTTACAATAGCCAAAAGATGGGGCTACCCATCAGCAGTTGGATTTTTTAAAATGTGATATATATATATATATAATGGAAAACTATTCAGTCTTAAAAAGGAATGAAATTCTGACACATCCTGCAACATGGATAATATTACACTAAGTGAAATAAGCCAGACCCAAAAGGAAAAATATTGCATGATTCCACTTATATGAGGAAGGTAGTCAAATTCATAGACAGTAGCATAGAGGTTAGCAGAGGTTGGCGGGTAGAAAGAATGGAAAGTTTAATGGGTATAGAGTTTCTGTTCAGGGTACAAAAATTTTCAAGAAACAGAGTGGTGATGGTTGTCTAACTCTGTGATGAACTTGGTGCCACTGAATTGTACACTTGAGAATAGCTGAGGTGGTGAATTTTGCTACGTACGTTTTATCACAATAAAAACCATTGTTTCAAATACATCGAGGCACTCTGCCTCCCCGGAGCACGCCCACACCCATGCATGCATCCCCCAGAGGCCCGCATCTCCTAAACTCTAAGGGACCCAAGAGACTGGCAACCAGGGCAGCCGTGGGCAGCAAAAGCTCACCCCAAACCTACCTCCGAGGCCCCCTTTTCCGTGACCTCTCAGCCAAAGCAGCCCTGCCTAGGCACTCTCCTGTTGCCTCTTCCTTCTTAAGCCCTTCCTTAGGAAAAAAAACAAACAGGTTTTCTTTCCATTGCTTCACTCCATTAAAAAAAAAAAAAAAAAAAAAGGAAGAACTGTGGCTTCTTGTCAAGGTTTATCCAGTTCTAACCAAAATATTTATAAAATAGTCCGTCAAAAGAAATTCCATTCTGGGTCACTCTGTGATCTGCTTTTGTGTACAGATTAATGCAAGATTCTGGAAGATTTTGCAAATAAAAGAGGGCAGCATTGCCTGAGGCCACCAGGTGGTGACAGAGATAAACAGGTCATGATTCCTCTCGTGACTTCTCCAGAGCAGCGCTAGGGGACGCTCTTTTCCAGTATTTTATGTGAGAATGAAAACCTAACGCTTCTTTGGTCCTTAAAGGTGCCAAGGGACCTTTTGTTGACTTCAGGGCATAACTTCATTTCTGAGTGTAACCTTCAAGTCTGACTCAACGTGTCAACTGCTTCCCTTAATGACTGCAAGAAGTTAGGTGGCTCGGTTGGTTGGAACGCTGTCCCATGCACCAAAAGATTGTGGGTTTGAACCCCAGGCAGGCATGTATCAGAGGCAACTGATCAGTTTCTCTGCACCCCCCCTCTCTCCCCCTTTCCGCTCTCAACATATAATAAAAGGGCTCTACAACTGAAGAGACATCCTCTACAACAGTGTTTCCCAAACTTTTGGCTTATGTGTACCCCTTCTATAATTTTTGTAATGCTGAGTACCCCTCGTACTCATGAGAACGTAGAATTAGGCAGCTAAAGGTGCAGTGCATATCCCCACCAAACTCCGGTGCAACGCCCGTGCCCCCGCCAAACTCTTCCTGTACCCCTGGGGGGACGCCTACCACCACACTTTAGGAAACACTGCTCTACAACTAATCCAGTCCCTTTTATAGGGTAAAAAATCCAGTGGAGGAAGGGTAGTTTTTATAACCAACTAGAGGCCCGGTGCACGAAATTCATGCACTCAGGGTGGGTTGGGAGGGGGCGGTGGGGAGGGTGCCTCAGCCCGGCCTGCGCCTTCTCGCAGTCTGGGAGCCCATGAGGGGTGTCCGACTGATGGCAGCTGGACATCCCGCTGAGCTGGCCTGGCTTCTGGCTGAGCCCAACCCTCTGTGTGAGCGTCTGCCCCCTGGTGGTCATTCGGCCATCGGGTCGATTTGCATATTAGCCTTTTTTTTATATTATATATAGGAGGATGGTGTTGGTGCAGTAGGAAATCCATAAGGCATGGGGGACGGGGATAGATTTTAGGTGAGAAACTCAACTCAAATCTCACACCCCATACAAATACTAATTCAAAATGGGTCACGCATTTAAACTCAAAATATAAAACCATAAAGAAGAGGAAAGCAAACTCCAGCAAGAGGACATGGATTGCCAAAGGTCATCCGGGTTCTCTCCCCCCAGTCTGTTTTCATAAATGACTACCCCTCTCCCCCTTGTCACACACCCCATGTGGCCCCGCTAACTCCCCTGCTCCAGGCTCACTCAGGGGAAACGGTTCCCAATCTATTAGCTGGGTCTTCATTCATGCTCTCTGGTGTGTGTGTGTGTGTGTGTGTGTGTGTGTGTGTGTGTGTGTGTGTGTGTGTTTTAATATCTTCTTCACGCTGCGTTAATTATTCATTCATTCAGCACTTTTACTGGGCTGGCTACAATACGCTAAGCTTCCCCTTGGGATTACAAAAATGGGGAAAAGACTGTTCACACATCTCAAAAGATTTATGGCTCCTTGGGGGGTTGAAATGAGAAGATGGCCCTAATTAGATTAAGGCCTCTTTGAAGAGCAAGAACCATATTTCTTTTTTTTTTCTTTCCATTTTTTTTTTTTTTTCCATCTTCACCAGCCAAGGACATGATGTCCCGCACGCCCCGTCCAGGGCCGGGCCCGCGTTTTCCTGGCGATTGGCTAACCCTGCGTTTCAAGACACGCTCCCCCCCCCCCCCCCCCCCCGGTGCTGTTTGGGGACTGAAAGTCCACGGAGATTAACCGGCACGTCCCGGGCAAAAGCGAAAGGAGAGCTGAGGTCACCGGCCCCCACACCCCGGGGCCTGCGCTAGGGCATCGATTCTGGCAGGAAACCTCCATGGCGGCGGGAGAAACCTCCATGGCCCGGCCGCGCGCACGTCCTTCTCGAAGGTTCCACACCCGACAGACCACCGACTCCCTGCAGGACGCAGAGTCCCGGTCGCCTTAGCCAACTTCCTCTCCAAAGACGGATTCCTTCTCTTTCCCCCTCGAAAGCTCCACGGAAAAGCTACCTACGATGGTGGGCGATGCCGGGGTGCCCTGGGAAACGGGGTGCGTGTTACCTAGAAGCTTCCCCCCAGGGGCGTCTCCTCACAGTATTCGGCGCCCCAGCGATATACGTTCACATCGAAACTCTCCGGTGAAAAGAGAGGGAAACGTTCACAGAGACAGAAAACAGGCCCTCAACGCCCCTCGCGCGGCCGCCTCTCCCCGCCAGCCGGGCCGCAACGGCCTTTTCCGGTTCCAGCCCGCGCCTCGAGCTCATGAATAACCAATCAGGTCCCCTCGGGGGCGGGGCGGAGCCACTTCATGAATAATTCATCACTCTCTGCGTACGCCGGCGTCCGGCCTCTCTCCCCTGCTTCATGAATATGCAAATAAGAGCCAGAGCGGCGTTCCATAGGCCGCTGGCAGGCCCGGCCCCCTCCACGCGCGGCCCGTGTTCCCGGCCGGACACCTGTTGACAGTTTCCCAGCCCGCACGCCGCGGGCCGGGCGTCCCGCTTCCGGCGGTGCCCGCGCTGCCGAAGCCGGGCCCGCGCCCCGGGGCCTGGGACCCGCGTCGAACACCGGGCGCCGCGGGAACCCGGGGGTGCGGGGCTACACAGGACCCAAAGGCGCCTTCGACTTGGGGAACCGGTGCCTCGAGGACAGCCTGCCTGCCGCGGGGCTTCCTGGGGAGACGCCTTCCTCCCCATCCCCACCCCCCACAGGTGAGGCGGCAGCGGGGAGGGCTTGGGGGCCCGGAGGGGTCTGGGTTAGAGGCCCTGAGGGCTAATGTGAAGCCTGGGGCCCGGGGCCCGGGGTCCCAGAGAGACCTGAGGCCCTTGCCGGGCAGCGGGGGCGGGGAAGAGGGTGGGGGGGGAGGGGGATGGAGAGGTCCGGACGGCAGAACTTTCAACCCTCGATGGCATCTCCGCTTCTTTCCTATGCACAGACCCAACATGGCATTGTCTCCAACATGAGTTTGTAATTATGCAAATCAAACGCGCACACGTTCGCCTGCCCTGCCCCTACCTAACCCGGTCCCTGGCGCAGGGGGGCCCCCGGGGAGCGGCTCCCACCCCCCCCCCCCCCCATCCCCTCGGAGCCCTGGCCCCGGGCTGAGGTCACAGGTAGGCCCGCCCCGTGGA